TTGTTCCAGGCAAGGCACTTCACTCTCACAGTGTCTCTCTCTGTTCAGGATTCTAAAAAAAAATGTTGAATGTTTATAGCGGTCAATGCGCTTAGCTACACCCAGCTAGCTCACAAGCAAGCCACTTAAACTGAAAGAAACAAATATATCAACTGAACATAAAAGGCTCAAAAGTCCCAATTGACGGAAGGCAGACCAGTTGGCTACTTATAACCATGACCGAAGTGTTAAACTAGGGTCTACCAAGAAACAACTCCAGCTAACTGGTCAGAGCGGGACACTCGACATCCGCATTTCAAGTCCGGCGCCCTAACCAGCCGGTCAGGCTGCCTCCTAAATGGATTTTGGTGCTATGGTTAAAGCGACTTGACAAAATGCTGAATGAAGGGGAGAGGGGAGGTAGCCTATAATGGACCCCTATCCCCTACAGAGGGAGGGGTAATACCTGTCCCTTCCAGGTTCCTGCTACAGAAATAACATTGTAGCATCCGTGAAAAATGGCCAAAATGGCGAGTCTTTTAATGGAAACTTCAAATATATCACTTTTTTTTGAACGGAAATTCCTGCAATATTGTTTGTACATGGTAAACAGCTATGTCGATATTCACAAATATGTTTCCTTTACACTCGCAGGTCGATGTTTGAGGTTGATTCAGTGCAGTGAAACAGAAGTGCTATCCCTTACTGTCGGTTTACTTCTTTCTTCGCTCAAGGTAACCTCTTGTCGATTTTATCAAGGTCGAAATACTTGCCACTGTTGCTTTTTTTGAACAAATTGATTAATCTAAAACCCAAATCTTCTACGGCCAAGCGGAACAGAGTGAGGTCTGGGTGCGAGGCTACAAATTGATATTATCCACAACATATAGAATTTAACTGGAATCTATGTGATCCCTTTTTTGTTGCTTTTATTTTTCTTTTTTTTTATAGCAAAGACTGGCTACTGGGGGACGGAATGACACACTTCTTGGTCACCTCATAGTCCTTCTTCAGTTTGGTTGGCCCAGGGAAGAAGGAACATTTTACGAACTCTTGGATAAGATCCGTGATCAGGGTGGCCTGAAATACAGAGTATTTTTTAACTACGTGAACAGTATCCTTTTTATGGAAAGAACTTTTGGTATATGTCTTTCAATATCCCATTGGAATAAAGAGGAAATGGAAAGAAAAAGAAATATTCCTTACTTCTACGAAATCAACGCTAGCTAAGGTATAGCTTGGGAGGCGAAAAATTGCTTAAGTTGATATGGGCGCCTAAATTTTGTTCTTTTCTGCCTTTAAGATTTGGTTTCGATTGACTGACAAAACACTCATGCGCACCGGTTTGCTTTCACCTATCACTGTAATTGACTTTAATTGCTCTAACCAATCAGAACAAGCAGACTTTTGTCTCGACCAATCAGAGTCCAAACTATCCTTGGTTTACGTGTTTTGGTAACCGATGCCAACCGCGGGAATCATTTACCCGCGTTTAGAAACACATGGATTTTGATTGGTTCGTTGTTTATTTAGGGGTGCGGCGATGGGTCAGGTTTGGCCTGATTTTATTAAGGTGGTTTTATTTTAACGCAAGTCATTGAAACACCGCTCAGTTTACCTCAGTCAAGCATCTTCCCGTAGTTTCACTTAACTGCTGGCAGATATCGATATTTTGGAGGAATTTGCACATCTCTACAGTGACGATACATTTAACCTTGATCTAGTTCCTCATTCCACGACTGGCTCGAGGTAAGCTTCACACCCGCCATTTCGTTGGTCACGTAAGTGATTCAGACGAGTTGCCAATTGGATCGTCACGCAAGCGATACGGACAAATTGCAATCGGTTTGTCACGCAAGTAATGAGTTTGTCGGAAGTAGCTGGAACTAGTTTTTTGGCGAATTTTCGTGGAAGCACTGAAAGAGGTTCATTCTTTATATCCGAACACATGATGCGACAGGACACTGAGTGCTTCAGCTGTTAGGCAAATTGTCCGTGGGGAAAGGGGTCAAGAGTTCTCTCCCATAGATGCTACTTAAGAAATGTAAAACATTTTCGTGTTTTTTTTCGAGGTATAGAAACACGAGTGGAAGTTTGGGAGAACGAGAAATGCTGTGGGAACACGAGCTGATAGGCGAGTGTTTCCATAGCTATTTCGAGTTCTCCCAAACTTACATGTTTTCTATCTTTTCTAGAAAGCAGTCAAAAAAATTTTTAACAACGTGGCTACGACAACTTTTCTTTGTTTTTTATCGCGTTTAAGTAGAATTCTACTAGCGTTTATAGAAATACGATTTTTAACCAATCAGCGCGCGTATTTTCTTTGGGCTATTTTTTTAAGAGAGATTTTGGTTTCGAATAGGTTCATAGATTTTGCCAGTTTAGTCAAATTGACTTTGTTAGTTAAATCTATCACTGGATGTTTTTCATTGCCATGGAAACCCCTTAGAAATTAACGTTTTATACGTGATCCATTCTACCTTTCAGTAGGGCGGTGACACGAGGGGTTAACAAAGGAGCTAAGGAAGACTTCCGTGCCGCTCTGGAGAGACAAGTTGCGCGCAGTGATGACAGCTTCGAGCCATTACTCAGAGCTTTCTTCCAAAATGAAAGAGAATCACTCATTCTAAGCTGACCAACACTTGCATGCAAGATGAAACCTTAGGTTCAAGTTATATAGTTTCGGGAGTGACTGTAAATAAATAATTCTTTCTAAATCTAAATCTAAATATTATTACGTCGGCAACATCCAGAGGACATCACGCCAACTCAACTCTTCATTAATATTGCCAAATTTTACATTGGCCACAAAGACCGTCTTGCACCTGGTTTGGTTTTGTCTTTGCTCAGCAGTAAAAAACTCTGTCATCGAGGCCTAGCAATCAGAAGGAAGCTGTTGTTTTCTTGGCCAATCAGGAGCGAAGACCGAAACCAATTATGATGGTTTCCTCAGCTTTTCCTGCGCTTAGCGGTAGTACGGGTTCACATGGAACTCTGTGGACATGCCAAAAATATATCGACAATTTGGGCCGTCGGATTTAAACCGTCGCAATCAACCCCAAGGGCCTAGGTTACGCAATTTTAGGCAATTTGAGCACTGATCAAATGGTCATAGAATTAACTAAAATATCACAAAAACGGCTCAAAACTATAGAAGATCTCAAACAAAACACAGGAAAGCCAAGAAGAGACATGGATGGACAAAACTGGAGAGGATTACAATGCATTGCATTTGGGTAAATTTGAAAAACGTCGGTCCACCTTTTTTCAAATTTATATCAGTTTATATCAAAATGTCATTTACACAGCCGGAAAATCATTCTCAGTTGTTATGTGGCCGTGATTTTGCAAACGAAAGACTTTTGCTCTGCTAATTTGACGTTTAGAGCTCACAATTAACAAAATTAAACAAAATTACCTAAAATAGCGTGACCTAGCCCCTTTAATCATTCTTGTTCTTTTTTTTATTCGTTTATTATTGTCACCTTGGTGAAAAAAGTAAAACTAACGGGAGTAACGTCCTTTTGTTAAGAAGTCACGTGATATATGTCATGTGACGTCACATTGTCTTCGTTCAGTGTCAAAGTCGCCACTTTAAGAACGAGGAGAAACCTGGGGCAAGTCTCATCTAGCAGTGGCTTGTGGACCGTTACTGGGGACAAAACAAACGAGTAGAAGCTATGTTGTTCCCAGTCACGATCCCAAAAAGGTGAGACTCGCCCCAGATTCTCGTTCCTTAAGTGGCGAATAGAAATTCACTCCTTCGTTAGTGACAATCCATAGAGCGTCAGTACGTTTAATGTTCCCTTCCCTCACTATCAGAAGGCGAGGCCTTCCATAAATTTATCCTTTACTTAGTTAAAAAGCTTTTAAATCCATCATTTGCCGAGTTACTCGAAAGCTTTCTCAAGAGACAGTTTACCGGGAGCCTCGATTTCATGCTTAGAGAGAGATGAACAGTGGCTGGGTGAAGAAAGAAGCCATCAAGGCAACTTTAAAAAGAGTGTTTGTCAACAGGAATTAATAGGAAATTAAGTTGACAGCTTGCCTGCTAGAATCTAGTGAGCCTAAATTTAACAAAAGAAAATTTGAATAGTTTCCACCTAAGATTTCTTGGAAAAAACTTTGCAATCTTCTAATCTTGTCAATCTTGTCAGCGATGTACGGACGCGATGACATCTTAAATATTGTAACTACAAAGTCAAAAAAAATAAAATTTTCTTAAAATGTTGTATGAAGAATGTAACTTCTCGCATCTTATGGTACATGTGGTTCAGTAACAAACTATCTAAAATATTTATTGAGTAAACGTATTTTGTAACGGAAACATACAAGGATGCTAGAATGTTTACAATTATTATAAAATTGGAAACAATTTTTCGTAGATGCTCATGTTCGTACAAGCATTTCTTTGAAAATAACTTCCATAAAAAAACTTCCAAGTTTGGGATTGAAGTATTCATTGACATATGGCTGCACAGAGTCGGAGATTTAGACTATTCTAAAAGGAGAAAATGAAAGCTTTACCTGCCTACGCCTACTTCGATATATCGGCTACGAACTCGGCAAAACTTATTTTGAGACTGGATAACCCCAAGGCATTGTTCTGGTGAAGACGGGAGAGTATCTTTCCTCAATGAAAAAAACATTTGGTGATAACTCCAGTTAATCAATGATAAATCAACGTTGTTGTTTCAGTTAAATGTTTTGGCTGACTGGCCATTTCCTTAAGGCGCTCACTTGACAATTTTTCGTGAAACTTGTGTCGGGATGAAAGAAACACAAACAAGTACTATAACCACATTTCCTTGAATAAACCACGGCCTCGGATATGTAGCGTCAACCCTACTGAGCTAACCCTCAGTGAACAACGTGAACAACGTTACGTTGTGTTTATTCAAAATACTTTCCCTCACACTCTTGCTTTTATTCTTTAGACCAGAGTTATAAAAGAGAAACCGCCGAACTTGCTTGTATTTGAATTTTAAAATTTCGTGGGCAATTTGACACTGTTCGTATCGTAAACACAACCAACTACGAGCTAGAGGACTTGTTGTGTATGCGTACATGACGAAACTGTGCTTTTCCGTATTTCCCGGTCAGAGACTGGGACTAGCACGCCGCGCGAGCGAGTAAACACGACGTTTTCAGGCCATAGGTCTTTCCTGGTAATTGCAGGATGCTATTCCTCGTCGCTACAGGGTATAATGACATCTTCGTGCAGTTAATGTAAGCGACAACATCATAACCCAGATTCACCCGAAGACGTAATCAAATTCTTTATTGTCCCTCTTCGGGGAAAACGAATTCTCGAGAATTCGAAGAAAGGAAATGGAAACGATGAAGGTTTAGACCGGCGACCAATTCTTCCAATTTTTCAATAACCCGAGCGGGCAGATGTTACAGACCAGCCACTGGTGAATATTGGAATAACTGATCGAAGCAACTGCCAAACAAATTTTGACGGGTCTTCCAGGCTGGTCTAAGTATCGATATTTGCAGTCTCGGATGCAACTTTGGCTAACTTTTATTCCGGACTGTGTTCGCTCTTGTTCATTTCCATATCATATCTAAACAGTCATTCTAAAGTAAAATTAAATGGTAAAAGATTAATGGAATTCACTCACCCATACAGGGTTGGTTTAGTAAATATAAACTTGTCCCACGGGATGCGTTTTGAGATAACGGATGCGCGGGAGGAGAACAATGAAAATCGAAAAAAGCAGCAGGCCTTACCGAATAATAGCATTGCCGCGGTGAGGTTGCTTTAGGAAACAAACCTCATTGTAAACTAGGGAAAAACGACATTGTGTTTTTCTACTGGAAAGGCGGAAATGCTGGCAATCTTAGATGCCCTCCTGAAGCCTCGAAGTGGTATTTGGTGCTCTGAAAGCAAATTTATCAAGTAGAAAAGAAGGACTTGCTCGTTTTATTTTATTTTATTATTTTTTTTAACGCGTCGCGTCCACGTCCCACATTATGTAGCTGGACTGACCTTATTCAAGTTTGGAGAGAGCATCTCGTTTTCGTTCAGTTCTCTTTTTTTTTTTTGCCGTGGGCTTTGGTGAGACATCGCTGAAGAGAACAGTTATCTGTTTACTTGGTTTGTTAACTCCACCGTTTTGTTTTTATATTAACACCGGATTGAGGACCGTAAATTTCCACGCTTCCCGTTTCGCTCTCTGCCTGTGGCATCTATCCGTGTTTGCGATTACGATTTAGGGATTACAAAATTCAGAATGACAACGCGGGAGGAATCTGTCTTGGTTTCTCAAAGAAAGTAGATCTAGATTAGCTTTATAAGCTTGTTGAGTTCATTTATCACTACTGGGAAAGTAGTTACTTGATTTTGCCGAATGCATTGAAATCTCTCTTGATCAGTGTCATTCCAAATGCAGACAGAACGTGTAAGAATCGTTGCTCAATCTGGGTACGATTTCGATTTTTCACACGATCGATCGATAGCACAAACGGGAGGGGGGGGACGCATCACTGTTTTGGACGCGTTCTCGGCGTTTAGTTGTGCATATTGACACTACTAGGGGCAAAACCGTGAAAATGAAATTACCCCCTCAACCGTTAACTTATAAACTAATATCCTTGCCGTCTTTACACCCATGTTTATTATTGCAAAACTCAGGAAGATACCTTTTCCCACGCTTCATGCGGTCTTCCAAGAGCGGACTAGGTGGTAACCGGTTCCTTGCGCCAATCGCATTGCTGGGAAAACCCCGCGCGTTAAACAGGAATGACTTCTACTAGTTAGGACTGAGTTAAATACGTTACGAAAACGACATTATGTAAAAATGTGCTAGAGAGTACTTTCAAGACATGAATGATCAAAGAATGATTCGCATTAGATACGAGACTTAACGAATGCAAGCTGTGATCGATTAGAAGACATCTATTTGTGGCGCCATATTGTTGTCGTAATCATTTCCATCCTCCCGCGAAAGGCGGCGTGTGAAAGTTTTCAATCATTCATACAATCCCCTTAAAATCACTTGCTTGACCTTTCCTGGAAATTTGAAGTCTGATACTGCTACTGTTACGTTTGATTTAACTTTCAATGTACGCTAAATCATTGGAATCAACCGCGAGTCCCGCGAAAACACTTCAAGCGACTTGCGCGATAACCGGACATTTGGGGAATACCCTTGAGGCCTGGTCACTCAATCGGCAGAAAGTGAAGTTGGCATCCCCCGTGCGATAGTTTTGTCTCCGACTGACGTTTGAATTTTTCATTTGATTTTCGTCATAGTACCAGCCAGGCTCTGGAAAAGTGGAGGCTACAACAAAACGATGTCAAGTTCGTCAAAAACTATTTGTTTATTCCGTTTTCTCCCATAATCGTGTGCGGTCGTGGAAGCACGTGTGGAGAGATGTGTACTCATGCGCAAACAGCAGCAAGATGGCGCGAATGAAATATCCTGGAACTAACAAGGCCCGATGTGTGCCGGAGAAGAAGAAAAAATTCAGCATGTCGAAAGGGATGAAAACACAGCAACTAGAAAAAATGCCGAAGAGTTCAGTAATCAGACCAGTTTTCATCAGCCTTCGGAGATATCGCGAAATATTTGGAGATTCCGATGAAGAGGTGCTTCATACAGTTCACCAATGCATACTTCAGTGTTTTGTTTATGCGACTCTTCGTCTCTTTCATTAATCGAATTTGATTGCCTTCTTATCTTTTGATTTCCTTGGGTTTTAGGAAGAAGAATTCTATGGCTTTCGAGCAGAGGAGCTGGGTCTTAAGGCGTATCGCTCGTTTTCTGTCAAAGACTATCTGGATGGCAGCGAAAGAGTGAGCTATAGAAAAGATGGCGCTCGCGATCTACATTCACGATATTCGGTTGGTAATTCGGCTAAAGTATCCACAGCTGAATCCTCTCAGCGTAAAAGTAACACAAAGGAAACAGAAAGCAAGCCAGTTGGTACGTCCTCGAGTCCAAACGTTTACGCGAAGCAGTACAGAAAAAGGGATTCGTACGAAAGAAGATTCGCGCGAACTGAATTCGACAAGACTTGTCTGTCACCGAATGTGAAATCAACAACTCAAGTCAGGGCGAATTTTGTACCGCGAGTCCAGAAACCTGTGCAACGAGAGGGCAGCAATCGTCACTTTCCGGTTAACACATACGAGGTCAATTTATTTCCTTACAGTAAAAAGAAAACGGTGCCTTTGGCGAAACAATTGCTGGCAAAAGCGAAGGAGGGCCAGCGAATTCGGAAGCAAAGAAAGTTGGACGCGGTAAACAAAGATAGCCAACAAGTGCGATCGCGATTTGGACGAGTTGTAAAGAGTAAAAAGTTAGATTACGACGATGTTACATCGCCGAAATACAAAGGCAAGGGACATGACGCGAAAACTGGGCCATCAAGTCATCGAGGAGCACACAAAAGGCCTTTAGAAGATGGCGAATGTCCCCCTAAAAAAACCCTGCGAGTGGCGGAGGTAAAATTGGAAAAAATGGATTTACCAGGCGATCAAAGAGTCTACGTGAATAATCCAGGTATCTAAATTGTTTATAGAAACTGAACGATTTTTTTTGCCTATGGTTTTTTTTTTCCAATGCATTTGTGCGAGCTGTAGGCAGTTCATTGCGTATGTGTTCTTGAGATTCAGAAGCACTGTAGGCAATGGACACAAATGGATGTTGACTCCCCCCTCCCTCCCCAATCATTCCCTAAACGCGATCAAAATCTAATATTACTCTATTAACAATTTAATTGCATTCTAAACCAGACATTTTGTGATCTGAAATAAAATAATTATCTAGTATATTTTGTCTTGTTTTACCACTAAACTCTCAGAACCAAAGTCATAAGGAATAAGCTTTCACTTAGGAGAATTGAGTTTTGTAGCCACAGCTGGGCAACATGCAGAATGCAAACTGAATCTGTGACATTTGGCAGGCTTCAGGAGTTCAATTTAAATTTACTAACTGCTTTCACACAGCAGAAACAGAAAAAAAAATGCTGTCTATATCAGTTATACCTCTGTCTGTGATATAATGGCTGTATACATTAAATCAGTCAAACATGATTTGTGACAATTTTAGTGGCTTTAATTCATATATTTTACATGCAGTTTCCCAGGTAACAGTTAATTTGTGTGGTTGTATAGAACTCAGCATTTATAAGGGATTTCAAACATATTTGCCTTATTTAGCGTGATTTGACGACACTTGATGTAAAATGACATTAAATCACAAATAATGATAATAACCATAAGCAGTAAATTCAAGTTGGAAAATCGGTTTTTAATTGAATGATATTTAGTATTAAAAACTTGCAAGTCTCCAGGAAAAATGGTGAAAAAAATATCTTTGTAGTTTATTAATTAATGAACTAAGTAAACATAGTTGCAAAAAAGGGCTTCAAAGAGATTTTAATCAATTATTTCCCTGTAGGAATGTGATGGTTTAACAACTAAGCAATCTACATTTTTAACTTGTGAATTGCGACAGCAAATTACTAGTTTTATGTTACATTTAACTCACTATCTCTTTTCTGATTGGCCGAAAGTGCACAGTGAATTTTCAAAATCAGCACCTGTGACATCATCAAGCTGCAGATTATACAATAATCATGTCAAGGACACTCAAGGTCATGGGTAATCATGTCATGTATGACCGCAGTGCATGATTTCTAAGGGTAATCACATAAAGTTCACAGGCTTTGTGTTGCTTGCTGTCAGTGAAAAAGCAAAAACACGACTTCCATTTTTTTTTGTTCAAATAAAACAATTATTAGATTCAGTTTCTGTGATATCCAGAATAATCAAGGTCTCAGTAAGGGTTATCAGCTGAAGGCGAAGGCTTCAGCTGACAGAAACCTCATCCAATAATTGTTTAGAAATGTGTGATCAGATAATAATTGTATTTATATCCTCATGGAATCAGGGATGTGTGACTGTGAACTTTGGACTGATAATCAGGATAGATCAGTCTGATAAACCAAGTATCAGACTTATTTTCTTGGCTTTGCAACCTCTTTAGTTGTTTTATGTACTGTGCCAGAAAATATCCATGCCCTTCCCACGGTATGTCTTTTAGTTTGAAATCCCCCCTCCCAATCCCCTGGAAATTCCAGTCTAGCTTCATTCTGTCCTTTTAAAATTTTGGCTTTTGAACCCCCCCGCCCTCCCCTTGGGGTGGGTATGGATATTTTCTGGAACCGGTCAATTTCTCTCTTGCATAGCAGATGTAGTTATTTTAAAATTTAAATTTATCATTCAACAGAGTCACCCACAGGCTTTGAAATCCAGCCTCTCAGTGCCACAGAAGCAAAGGTAGGAACAGATATCCATAATAATCTCTGTGTACTATTCCTTTGTGTTGTGAATACAATCTTCATTGCGTGTTTGACCAACTGCTTAACTAGACCTTGATTATGTAAACACAACATTTCAAGCATGCCATAACTGCTGAAAAACATGGCTCCTAGGTTGACTTCAAGAGAAACTGTTGTGCTACATTGGCAGGCAAACAAACAAAATGCTTATTTAATAACTGATTGTCAATAACTGACAATCAATTGAGCATTTCATTTGCCTCTTATAATTATTATAAGATAATAAAGATAAATTAACTGTCAAAATTTCAAATTTTCTAAAATTTTCTGATTTTTTATTGCAGTTAATTTATTTAATATTATCTTCAAGTTGATAATCAATTAAGTATATGTACACCATTTAAACAAAGACTTGGACTCTAACAGATATTTTGTAAGTCAACAAAACACTCTTTACCGGTATTTGCTTATGGAAATTCAGATTTAATAGTCTGAAATACTTTTTTTTTAAAATGATACTTATGCATGACTGCACTCAAGCTTTACAGCATTTTGGTCACAATACAAACAAGCACTAACAGCTTCACTGATGTAGCTAAGAGCTGGCTGCCAGCTGATTTTATTGCCTGAAAGAGAGGTTATCACCACCTGAAATTTCACTTGAAAATAAAGACTCAGTCCAAGTAAGACCAGAAAAAGCAGCTGGCTTGTTTAAGTGTTTTCTTAAATACTTCACCCATTCTGCTTGCTTGGAGCTACAGTGCAATACAAAGTGACCTCAAAGTGACCTCACGGCTCATTTCATTTTGGGAATCTTGCATTGTAATGTGTTTCCTGTCTACTGCTCTGAGACTTGTAACAACCTGGGTACTCTCTGTTATGGCTGAGTTCCAAATTCCGCACTAAATCAACGCATTTATCTTAGCTGCAACAAAACATGTACTATATCATGTGTGATCTTTCTGGCTTGAAAAATATAACCTGAATGAAAACTCTGTACTCTCCCAAAATGAGAAGTTACGCTACATGTACTGTGCTACCAGCTTGATGCTCAATATTGTTTTAAAAGTTTGTTTTATCTAAGTAATGGATTTCTTTCTGTAGTTTACTGGTAATCATTCTATCAACTAGGATACAACTTTGTTTATTCTTTCGCAGTCTAATTTTGAATTCACGGACGTGTCACATCAAGATCCTTCCATGGATATGGCGCCTCAGTATTGCTCTCTCACCAGGAAAGTCCGTATCAAAAATGCGAACAGAATAAAAAATGTCATGAAGGCAAGGAATCGTTATCAGCAGGCAAAATTCCCTGGTCGTGGACAGAGGGCAAAAACTGTTAGAACTTCCAATTCATCACAAGCTTCATCACTCAATGAAGTTATTGGGAATGATTTAGACAATAACCATATAAAGAAATCTGCGAGAATTAAACTTAAGAAAAAACCTAAAGAATTGTCTGCAAACAAATGCAGGGAAGAAGACTTAGAGGACCAAGCTAGTGATACCTCGTCAATTTCAGAGGTTTCAACTTTAGGTAGTGATGTTTCCAATAGAAAAACTAACAGATATGTGTTTAAATCAAAACGCTTGCAAGAGTTGCAAGAGAAAATGGACAGCGAAACAATGGAGGATGTATCACTGGCAGAAGAAACTAGTTCAGGAGATTTAAGTAGAAGAAATTCTAAGGATCAGAAGCCAGAGGAAAGTGAAGCCCGTGTTAATTCGGAAAATGAAAGGAACAGCCATCCAAGATCAAGAAGACAGAGTCAAGACCAAGAGGAAAATCATACAAATGAAGATCAAGATTCTGAAGGACCGGCAGTACCAAAGAAGAAAAAACGAGTAAGTGGGAAAAAGACTTCTTTACCTAGGCTGCAATCGTTGAAAAATGATGATGAAATTCCCAGCTCAAGTGAGGATGAGGAGAGCTGTAAGCCACTTGCACAGATCAAGAAATATATCAAGAAAGAACAAGTAAAAGAGGCACAGGAACCCCAAGAGAGAGTTGTGAAAAAAGTTATCAAGGTGGTAAAGAAAATAAGAACAAAGAGTGGGGAGACAAAAACAAAGGTTGTGAAAATCATCAAAAAGATTGGTGTAAGAAAGAAAGCAAAGGATGCCTGTAAAGTGGTTCCAGGAAGGAGGCGGAGCCGCTGCGGCAGCTGTAGAGGGTGCAGAATTACAGATGATTGTGGTGTTTGTCGCTGGTGCAAGTAAGTTTGTGTATTTGTTTTGGCAGAAAGTTTTATGTTGAGGAGTTCTAGGGTTTTTGTCCAAGGCTACTTGTACAAGTAGAAATCAATTTTAATTGTGTTCTTTTTAATGTCACTAGTCAGTGTTGGGTAGACATGCTGCAATATGTGCTTGTTTATCTTAATATATGGAACCAACTTAGATTTTCTGTTCCTTGTGAATCAGTGTTCCAGAGAAGAATTTTGGTTTAAAACCCAACAAGATCACCTAACTGCATATCCCTCCAAAAATTGTTAGAAAACTTATTGACTCCAAGTGCCTTTAACAAGTGTAGTCAAACCTGTTATACATATATAACATGGTGGATATGAAGGAAAAGTGTTTGTGTTAAGCCATGGAAAACATTGCTTTGATGGAATAATGTTTGTTTCTTAAACATCTGCATTTACTTTACAGGGACAAGCCAAAGTTTGGTGGACCAGGCACTAGCAAACAGTCATGTGTGTAAGTACTTGTATGCCTTAGATTGGTCAATTGATCAATACTATATGATATTATACTATATCATTCTTAATCATACTTTGATAATTGCTAAACAGTATTTATATTCTTGTAGACAGAACAAATCTCTTCCTTCAATTCCAAAATTAAAACGATTCACCAGCTTGAGACAATGATCGGAAAATCAAAAAATAAATTAAAAGCTCACAATATGAAATGGGGCAGGTACAAAATCTTGTGTTGTTGCTGCGCTCTACTAGTATCATATCTAAAAGTAGAAGAGAGTTAAGAGGAGCTGAGGTGTGTGTATGTAAATGTATGATGTGCCGTGTCTGTTTGTTTATGAGTTATGTGTTTATAAGAAAATTGGTAAGTAACTTCAAATCAATAAAAGTATATTGATAAAATACAAAAAATACTATATTATTATACTGTATTATAGCAAAATAAAAAGCAGAGGGATGGTGGCCTCATAGTTAGTGCACTCATCACCTGGAGACATTCTGATAAGCCTTAGAGAGTAAAACAACTCAAAAGTAAAGTCATTCATTTTAATTTCAGGAAACGCAAGTGCATTAACCCACAGCCTCCAAAACCACCAGGTGAAACTACTAAGAGAGCTGAGAAAGGTACTTCAGCATTTTGCCATCAGTATTTGATATTTTGTATTATTTTAAGACTTTGTGAAATATCTTTTGTCGTCTTTAATAATAGACCTCCATTTATATTTTTTCAATGGAAACTAGTCTAGTATCAAAAATAACTACACTAGGGCACTGAAAGTATCAAAGGGTGTTATCATGAGGTTGAAATGCACGAGGTTTTGATCTCAAAAGGAAAAAGCCAGGAGGCTTTTTTCTGAAATTCTGGGCCTGTGTTTTCGAAAAATAATTACTAGTAACAAATTAGCACTTGCTGTACTCTCATTAATTCATGTAAAACTTCATTCCGGTGATCAGGTGGATTTTTTGTGTGTAAACAAAGGCTTTTAGTTGCAACCATCGCAGAATCCCAGTGACAGTGCCTCTTTAAGTTAATGCTGTTAAATGCAATTTAACAAAGTTTACAACAAAGATTAGCTGATACTTCCGGTCAGCGGTATTTTTATACTGCAACATCAGTGCACTTTGCCATTGTACTAGCGTGTTCCAGCCTGGCGATCCCTGGAACTTTTTAGTTGTAGGATTGAGCAGTTTCCTGCATCCTTCTGCCCTCCCCCCCTCCCTCCCCTCGCGTCTTCACTGTTAACTCAGTGTGACGGGTGCCTGGAAGACTGCGTGGGGGTTCAGGCTGGGTTGCGGGGATTGCCAGCCATGGGAGCATTACACTGTGTAGGGGCCAGCTGGTCACAGTGGAGGTCCCTAGATATTCCAGGCACCCATCTTACATACAGCACAATGCAGTTGTTAACTGGGTACTAACTGTGAACTGCTTAACTGAAACATGCATTTGGCTATTTACTTTTAAAAAGTGGGAGCGAATGAGAGGCCGCTGTATTCGCAGGCTAACTTTTTAGTGGCATGACTGAATGATATGTGTTATTTTTGAAAACAGTTTCTAATGTACCAGTGAAGAAGAAGAAGCTGACAGCAAAGAATGAACTTACTCTTAAAGGGAAACATTCTAAGAAAGGTCAAAGCCAGTTGCAGCCCTCTGCCAAGAAACCTGCTGCTCCAGCGAAGCCTCCACCGACTGGCAAAAGACAAGCACTTGTGGACAGACCTCTAGTCAAAGTACCTTGGAGTGTGAGTACAGAAGTTTTTACATGTATATACAATAAATTTGAAATCTTAAAAAAAGTAGGTACCTGGAATTAAGCCTTGATTATGGAAGTGCAGAAATGTTAAAATTATTTTCCAAACAAAATTAGATTAAAATGAAATAATAAAACATCAACTTCTTGACTCAATTCTAGGTGCTTCAAATGTGTAATCTGACAACTTTTGTCTCACTTTTTAGGTTTTATCAAAAGTCATGGGATATAAAAAAAACTAAGGTTAAGCTACTTGAGTTAAACAAGATTGTTAAACTTTTGTGGTTCAATTTAAGTTTTAATTTTTTTTTCATGTAACAGGACAACAGTACAGAGGAAGAAATCTGGAAGGAAGGATTTGCAGTTTGCTTTACAGCTGGTGTGCCAAGTATAGTAAAGGAGCTCTGTTTCCTCTGCGGCAGCAGGGGTCAGGAAAAGGTTTGATAATTTTGTTGTTTCACTGATATTTAATTTGTGTAACCTACATGTTTGACAACTAAGCAGTAGAAAAGTCAGAATTCAAGTACCAGTAATTCGCCACAATTGAACCAAAAATAACTAATAATTTGATTGTGTGTAAACATTTTGCACGACAAAGCATGACACATGTGACATGCAAGTTCCCTCTCGTCTGTAAGTAGAAATAGAAGAGAATCTCTGTCTCACAGCTTAAATAATCAACCTCTCTTGGCTACAGTAGCTGTGTAATAAGACCATCAAGGAGAATGTGTTCACTTAAATGGAGGCTTAAAGATTTAACACAATATAAAAACCCTCAACTACTACTTTAAGTGATGCCAAATGAGTGGAAATTGTTTGATGCCAGGTCTTTTGTAAGTCTTATTATCTTTCTGGTCTTATGTATTGTCTTTTGTAAATCCTCGTTTTCTAGATGTTTTACTGCAGAGTGTGTGCTGAGCCTTTCCATGGGTTTTGCCTTGATGAGGAACCAGTGGATGAAAGTACATGGTGCTGTGACAATTGCAGTAGTTGTTCTGTTTGTGGATATCAAGACAAGGTACATTTCATGGCGAAACAGGGCTGTCACTTAGGGCCATAACCCATAACACCTGTTACAGCTGAGTATGCTTGATTTTCCCTTGATGCTATGGGTGAAAGTGCTAGCTTGTTGTTGATAGAATTAGCCCACAAAGTAACAGGTTTGCTACAGTTGTGGAGAACACAGCTTGAGGTGACTCAAAACTTAATGACAGCACTGGTTAAAAATTAGGCCTTTATGTTGTTATTGTTACTGAATTACACTTTTTGGAACAGAGCTGTTCTTTTATTCCAGCAATAAGAGAGGTTGTTTTGTGGAAAGTTGTGTACTGTAACTGGAATCAGTTTATTTTTAGGCTTGACTTACCCAGCCTTATAATCCATCAAATATTTTTGTTCGTGCNGTGGAAGGAGAACTGCTGGAGATGTAAGTGCATTTATTCAATAAATGTATTTTTGGCTAATATTCTCCTTCATCTTTGCACATGTACACATGTAACATGAGGTTAATTAACCAAAATGAAGAGTATGACATCTTGAAAATTTTGAGCTAAATTTTCCAATTTTGTTATTGTTATCCATCTCATTGATAACAATCCTCTTTAGTGCTTTTTTTGCCTTAGTGAACTTTCATTTTGAGGTTTTGCTGTATTGGAAGGTAATGTGATACATGCTGGCCACTTAGTTTACTCATCATTCTAAGTAACATTTTCTGCAGGATCCTGAAGCGCTGTGGATGCTTGAATTTACACATTGCCAAGACTGCGGGCGTCAGAGGGAACAGAACAACTTCTGCCCTCTGTGTGACAAATGCTACTCTGATGATGACTTTGATTCTCAAATGGTGTACTGTGTCCAGTGTGACCACTGGGTTCATGCCGAGTGTCAAGGCATCACTGTGGATCAGTATGAGTGCTTGCGGGATTTGCCAGAGGATGTACAGTTCATTTGTAAACAGTGCTGCGAGGATCAATTGACGTCATCTTGGTATAAAGAGCTGATGGAGGAAATGGAGGCAGGATATGAACGGGTAAAACAACTTTGATATTGATATATCATTGTTCAGTTTTTCTAAATCACCGTTATAAAAAGACATTGACATTCACCATTCATTAGCATGTCAATTTTTGAGGACAACAGAATTCTTACTGTGTGCTTTTTTCGTAGATTGTAGATGAGATCAAATCTTGCAAGGCATACCAGCAATTTAACTCTCATTTTGAACAGGTATGATAAATAATAACAAGACTCAAGAAAATTGTCCTGTTTGTTAGCCATGGCTAATGACTTTTATTTAAAGAGGTAGTAGTTTAGCAGGTGATATCTGATGGTTAATGGCTTGAGTCCTGCTCGAAAGTGCTTTTCTCCACCCAATGTTTGTTTGCTACTGGTTACATTTCGAGGAGAATTGACAACAAAATATTACTTGTGGTAGACTTAGTTGGCAGCCCATCCCATGCCTGCCTCAGAATTAAGCGTCATCAGTTTTGATTTTCACTAGCTCATTGAACAGAACAACGAAACCTTTAAACCCAATTGGCCTCAAGCTCTGGGCACTTAACTCTGGTTTTTGCAGCATGAAATTGCNCCCCCCCCCCCCCCAACCTTCAGCCAGGTTGCCCTAACGATTTTCCATCACTTATTGATACTCCTGTTGTGGAGAGAGGCTCTCTGAGAGTAAAGTGTCTTGCCCAAGAACACAACACGATGGCCCTGACCAGGACTTTGACCCATACCGCTTGTTATGGAGTCAAACGCATTAACCATCAGACAACCATGTCTGCCACTCACATTTAACAAGCAATGTCTATTAATCATTAACTTTTCAATAACTGAATCAGAGACAGTTGTAGAGATTTGTGACTGATGTGACCTCACCCTTAATTCTTTCAATTTTTCTTACCATTGTTGCAGCTTCAAGCTGACAATGGCTATCCTAAAGACCTGGATGCAATTATGGCAAAAGTGAAAGAGCAAAAGTACATCACAGTGGTGAGTAATGAAACATGTTTTTTGCTGGCAAGTCCCACATCCTGTTGCAAGATGTGCAGTATTTTCTTTCGGTTAAGCAGAGGAAAACACAAGAGAAAGGACCCATATGGAAGAGTTACACTGTTTTACCTGTACTGTTTGCTGAATAGTTTGTTTTCTGGACTGTAAAAGGAAAATAATTAGGGTTTTTAAAAGAGATATACTTAATTTATCCACAGTTTGTGTAAACTGGGCGATATACTTGAAGGGAAAATCCCACGATTCTCTCTAAATGAATCTCATTTATTTTTCATGGCAGAGTAGAATATTGTGGGGATAAGTAGCTCGTTTAAGTTTTCTCTGTGTTTTATTTAACAGGAAAGCTTTTGTGAAGAGGTGACAAAGGTGTTAGACAAAGTCTTTGCCCTTGTAAAGCCAGACCCTGATCTGACTGAACAGTGGAGCTCTCTGTATATTACATTTTGTAAGGTGAGTCTGCTAACTGAGCATTTTTAGAAAGTATACTGTAAGAAGTTGAAGATGAATTTATTTCTTTTTAACAATTAGATTGCAAGTTAAGATTTCTATAGAACAGTTAGATTATAAGCTTGAGATTTCTATCGACATTGTCAACTGTCACGCATAGAAATTCCAAGCAAATAATCTAATTGTTTTAGTGTAAATGTACTAGTCGTTCAAAACTTTATCTAAATCCTTTTCACAGACACTTTGAAAACGCCAAGAAGCGGCCATCATTTTGTTCACAAGGGCACACTGTTATGCTACTCGCTATCTATCCAGAATAGATAGTGAGTAGTGTAGCCAATCAGAGAATGCCATTTGTGATAGAATGCTAGTAGATTTATACTAGTGTGTGATGGTTCACAAGGGCACAACCCAAGTCCGATATCACATACTGAAATCAAGAGCAAATAATCTAACTGTTTTCGTATAAATCTGCGAGTCATTCAAAACTTATCTTAATCCTCTTCACGGACACTTCGAAAATTCAAACCTTTTTGAAAACAACTGTGTGCACTGCTAGACTACTCACTATCTACAACAGCATAGGTAGTGACTAGCGTAGCGCAGCCCTAAAAGAGAACGGCATTTGCTATAGAATGCAGGTAGATTTATGCTAAAACTCATTAGAAACACAGGCCTAAAATTAACTGTTGATGTATGGTTGTTTTCCTTGCTCCCTGGAGTGAATTTCCTTTCATTTCCTCACAGCGTCTCTTGAAAGAAATCATAGAAAACATTTACTCCATGTTTCTATTGAGCTTTAGAACCCTTTTAGGCTTGAAAGGCTCTACATGTTTACTTTAATCTATTGACTACTTGCTGAGATTAACACTGTTTTCTCTTTGACACTCAGGAACTAGCGTCAATGTTTCCGTGGCATAACCTCAAGGGTAAAGGAGATTCTGAGGAGAAAGATGAGAACAGTCAAGTTTCCCCTCCCAAGTAAGCAATAATTGAAAATAACCCTGATTTCAATCCACCATCTATAATGTTGGGTTTGCTGGCCTTTTTTATTTACAATGGAGTTAATGTCTTAGGTAAATGTAGAAGCTGAGGGCAGGGTTCCTGCAATGTCTATGGGCAAGGCACCTTCGTGGGGAAGGGGGGGGGGGAACTCCTATGTAAAAAGGACATGGGTGCTTGTTGGACCTTTTAGGGGTTAAAAATGCAGCTTTGGCCCCTCTTACCTGGTGTTCAGCCTCAAAAGGCTTTACTGATCAAGATTCAACAACACACTTGAAACGGTCTTCCCAGCACAACAAAGTGAGGTGTCTTGCCCAAGAACACAACACAATGTTCCTGGCCAGGGCTCAAACCCGGACCACTCGATCCAGAGACAAGCATACCAACCATGAGGCCACCGCGCCTCCAACCATTGTCCCAAAGTTGAATAATATTTTCTTTGTTACAGTGGAATGATTGGACCCAGTATCTGCTTTGAGTTTTGGGATCATTCTTATGTTTCCATGAAGAGCAGCCAAGAAAACTCTGACACACCACTGGAGGCAAAATGCCCATTACCTTCCACAGAAACTCTTCCGTCTAGTTCTTTGCCCTCACAGCAGGAGTTGAATGGTAAGAGTTTTTTTTTTTTTTTTTACACTCGCATGGTAGAATAATTATGGAAAGAAAGACACATTAAAACAATTTTCTGTTTAACAAATAGATTCCACGTTGCTGCACGTCTGTTCAGTAATAGATCACAGATGACATCAAAATGCAGTATGACGTCAAGAAAGTGCCAAGCGAGCTGTTAGGCCTCACTTACAAGTTCTTACCACACTTGACTGCGATCTATTACCAAGAGACGTTCAGCAACATTGATTCTATCAGTTATATATAATAAAGAAACAAAAAATTGTTAATGCGTCTTCTATACGTCTGTCCTCCAATAGATCATGAGTAAGAACCAATGAAATTGCGAGAATAATTTAACATATTGTATAAATTTATATTTTCCATTGTAAACCAGCGGATTTTTAAGAAGAAATTCTTACTGTTATGAAACATGCCTGGCTTTTGGAAGCTACATGCATGACATAAGTCTTTATTTCTACGGTTAGGCCTTCTATCCAGACTAATCCGTCACGAAAACAGAGCTTTTCGAAAACGTTCTTCAAACCGGTAGGAATTTGGAAACGACGGCTTTGCGTTTTAGTGTGGACACAGAACATTTTGAAAACGAAGCTTTTCATCAACGAAGAGGTTATGACAATTGTGATATTTCCCTGCTTGAGTTTTACTTGAACACAAATCCAAAATGACCGGTGATTGTTGCATTTTCAAATTTCTGCGGCGTAGTGTGGACGGAAAACATTTGACGTTTCAAATTCCTCCGGCGTAGTGTGTACGCGGCTTAAGTTTGTGACACTGCTAGCCCTATCATCCAAAATCCTTGATTTCGTGTGTTGTGAATCTGTAGCTGAGGAGGAAAAGATGGAGGTGGACGATAACCAAGATCAAGAAAAGGACAAAGTAGCTGATGAGGAGCTCATGGAAACAGACAACAACGCTACTGAAGAACAACAGCAGCAACAGCAGTCATCGAATGCGGTAAACAATTTCACTAAACCTAAGTAAAATAACATGAGCGATGTGAGAATTGTCTGCACTATGTTTTAGGCTCATATTCCTCCTGACTCATCCAACAGTGATACTTTGACCAAGATTTGCCATAAAATGTTAATTCTTTTTTTTTTGCGGTGGACAGAATTATCTTGCAGTGGAAAGAAAAACACCGAATAAGTGAGAATAAATCACAAAAAATGAACATGGTTAAGATTGGGAAAGATCGAGACGGATTACGGATGGCGAATGTCAAAACTTGTGGTCAAGTTTTCCTTTAACAGATGCGCCACGATGCACTTCATTGAACAATGTGCATGTCTTCTTATTGAAACTTGTAGGAACTGGTTTATCATTTATCTTTCCTTTCGAAAAAAATTGACGACTCTTTCCTTGAGGGAATTGGGTGTATGTGCACACGGTAGAATTGGAAAGTATATTGTTAAATAACATTCAGCGCTGATTACAAATTGATAACTGGGTTTTATTTATCTTCAGCACTTTTTCTCTATAGAGCAAGGAAATTAAAGAATGCATTTTGAAAATTTGACTCTCACAGAAATATAGAAGTATAGTTTTAACGTTTTTCTATTTTTAACTTTCAGGAGGTCGAGGATACCAGGAAGTGTCTCCTTTGTGGTGTGATGAGAGACGCTGACCCTCCTGGAGCTGGTCGTCTTCTGTGTTGTGGTTTGGATGAGTGGGTGCACGTCAACTGCGGTCTGTGGTCAGCGGAAGTGTTTGAAGATGACGAGGGCCGTTTACAGAATGTTCAAGTAGCAATATCGAGAGGAAAACAGATGGTATAACCTTTAGTTGATTGTTTGTACTTTTATTTTACACCAATCCCTGTACTCTTTTCTCCCTTTTACATGTATTTTGTATACAACAACAACAACAGCAGCAGCAGCAACAAGCTTTACATCCGAGACTTTGATTGTTCCCTCGCAAGCTGTAGAGCTCATTTTTTGTTTTATGTTGGTCAGTGTTTAATTAAAAGGTTTTCATTCTCTTTTGAATGCTCTTTTGATTACCTTTCAGGTGCAAAGTCCTTCCAGATGCAAATTTCTCGTGATTAACTCCCCTTCCCCTTTGGGCAATAAATGAAAAAAACAAGTCATACCCTATTTTCGAAAGTTAATTAATTAATTTGTTGTTGTTACTACTGCAGTCGTTGTTGTTGCTGTTGATTTTTGGTGCTTCTTTAAATGCAGTTGTCGCTGCTGTTGCTGTTACTGAGTTCTGATTCTCACTAACTACCTTCCTCTGCTTCTAGAAATGTGAACATTGTGGAGAAGTTGGGGCTACTGTGGGCTGTTGTGAGCCCCGCTGTCCCATGAATTATCACTTCATGTGCGCAAGAAACGCAAACGCCGAGTTTCAAGACGACAAGAAAGTGTACTGTGCTCAGCATTCCTTCAGAACCAAGAAAGAGGTTGGTCAAATTTTGATTCCATCACTCTAGCAGTTTGAATCAGGGTTTCGCCCCCTTGTTCAGCAAATAAATACTCGGTTCCAGTTAGAGCAGTTTTCAATTGAGTGAAAAACCAAAACCATGTTAATCACTCTGGGCAATCACAAAAGATACAGACAATCCAATGAACCAATCAAAACTGAAGTAATTACATGTCGCTGGCGCGAAGCGCGGGAAAGCGACCGAGTCACGATTAGTTTTGGTTTTACTTCTGATTGGATGAAAAAGTGGCGCGAGTTTC